ATTTGTTCTAATTTTTCGCATATGTATACTTTTGTTTTTGTAATTTGTTCCGCAACCCTGGAGGGGCTTCCCCTCTTGGTGTGCCAGGATGTGCTCCTGGGGGCAATCACACGTAGAGTGGAGTTTGCTTCGGAGTCAACCACCGTGGAGAAATCACTGGGTCCTGTGCACAATTGTTCACAGTTTGTAAGCACCAACTGGGGTAACTGCAATTGTAATAAAATTGGCCCTTGCCAGCAATCCCTAATATCAGAGCAACCCTCAACCCCAGATGTGATTAAGTGTTAAAACAACTTGTATTTAATATGCATCATCATTACAAAGATTCTATCTTAATAGTTCCATCATCATTTTGGCAGGGTTCAATGTCAAACAAAGTAGAATATAGACTGAAAGAAGCAGAGGTGCAGCAAGCAGGGGTCATTGCAAACAATGTTCTAGTCTGTTTCAGACTTGCCACCTAAGACTAAGTACAGCAGAACCTAGCACAGAAAAAAAAAGTGAGGGGCACGGAGTAATTTGTTTTTATTTGTTTTAATTTGTTTTAATGTTTAATAATTTGTTTCATTTTTTTGATATTTTTTGATATTTCAATCATATTTTTTTATATGATTTATAATTTTTCATTCTGGCCAGCCATGGCTGATGAGATACCCTTTGATGGGGTACCCAAGCCTGACAATTGAGTGGATACAGCAACAGCAGTTTCACAACACCCGGGCAGCTAATGCATTATGCGCACGCGTGCACAACTGCGTGAGCAAACAATGCACACACAGACACACACACACACACGGACGCGTTTGAGCCATGACCGATGTCATCAACAAACGTTGATGAACATCTCCCTTGTTTCGTTTCATCCAGTATTTCAACAAGATCTTTTTTGGAATCCCAACATGGTGATCTATTTCGACTATCTGTATCAACATCATTGACTTAGTCAATATGATTTTCTTTTTGCAGGATGACTTATTTCAACAAGATCCTTCCCAACGTGAAGGTCAACATGTCTCGTGACGCATGATGATGTCAACACCGTTTGTTGACAACAGTCGTGTATTCAACCTTTTTTGTGCAGCCATTTTTGTGTCAACAGACGCTTTAGATCGACGTTCAACACCGGAGAGCCTCAACATGATCTCTTCGCGCTTCAACGTTGTGGGCGCCAACATTCCTGACTACAATGAGGTGACGATTCAGCCGTTTGAGGATCAACAGGCTTTTGAGTCTTTGGGAATCACGGCAACACCGGTAAATCCCAACACGGTGGAGAACCCGGATGGATCAACACCAGAGGAGTACAACAAGGCCACAAGCCTTGGCAACATGGTGGCCCTCTGGGTTGTGATCACCGTCGAGATGATCAACAGCCTGTTGAGCCCTGGCTCAACAATACTACGAGGTCTTCCGGGGTGGCAACACATGCCATATTTTGACAAATTAATCCTCTCGGTTAGCCCGATGAAGGCCATTCTCCAACATCTCTATCACGTGGCAGAGCAACACGTGAAGACTGGATACAACACAGTCTACTTGTTGAGCATCAAGCCAGATGCCAACAACATGATCTTTCGAATCGGCAACCGAAGTTGGACAACATTCGTCAGGGCAGGCCTCACGATTCAGATCCAACTTGAGGAGCAAGCATCATGGTTGTTCACTGCATCAGAACTGCTCACTCAACAGTTGTGGGCAAACAACAGGGAACAAGGGTTCCTCGACATCTTCAACATGCTGAGCTGGTCAAACAACTTCATTTGGAGTTACAACACTCCTGTGAATTTGGCAACAGTTGGAGATGAGATCCCACAACATCTCATCTATATGCTTCAACAAGCCATTCAGTACGGTGGCACTCAACAACTGGAATTCTTGCCAGAGGCAGCAAGGACCAAAATCAGGATGGTCCTCAACAAGTGGCATCCTCTCCTTTAAGGAGGACAACAATTCCAATACTTTGGTGTGAAGACACCAGAGAGGTTGAGGGGATCTTCAACACTGGCAACATGGCTGATGGAGCAATCAACAGCACTTCGATGAAGTGAACAAGTATCGTGCGCCAACCGGCATGGAAGACAACATGGAAGAGAACGAAGCAGAATGATCAACAATGATCACAACAGGGATGGAGCTCAGACAACATCCCGGTGCAGAAGCACCAAAACAACAGAGCTTTGCGCGACATGGCGCTCAACACATGAGAGCTTGAAGTGCGCATAATTAAGCAAGTGTTTTTTCGTCCAACACCTGCGGCTGCAACAGGCGTATAAAGATAACCAAGCCATCGGCATTTGTACAGAGGATGAACCAACACTCATGCATGAGTAGTCAACATAATGCTGTTTCAGTTTCAACATGTTTATAGTTTCAACATTAGTTGCAACATTTAGTGAACACAGACCCATGTAGAATATATATATAGTCAACATCTGCTGGCTTTATGACAATTTTAGCCAGCCACACATTGGAAATCCAAAATTATTTATTTTTTCGATTTATAATCATTTTACTTATCACCAAAAACATCACCAAAATCATCACCAAAATCATCACCAAAATTGCTGAGGTTTCCCAAAGATTCCATTTTGGAGCTTCTGGCAGCCCCAAAGTTTCCCTTGCAGAGGTTCTTGTAGGGAAAGGCTCCCCAAAGTTTCCATTTTGGGGGGTTCCCGGCCCTCCCCCCCAGAGAGGCGCGGAGGCCACCAAAATGGCTCATTTTTGAAAAATCCAAAACACGTAAAAAACTTCGAGTTTTTTTTGTTTTTTCGTTTTTTTTCTCGTTTTTTTCATTTGGCTGTCATGTTTTTTTCGTTTTTTTTCCGATTGTTTTTCCTTTTTGGTGGTTCCCGGCCCTCCTCCCCCAGAGAAGTGCGGAGGCCACAAATGGCCGATTTTTAGCCAATTTTTTAGAAATCCAAAATCGTAAAAAACCTCGTTTTTTTCGTTTTTTTTTCGTTTTTCTTTCGTTTTTTTTCATTTTATTTTCGTTTTTTTTCGTCTTTGGTGGTTCCCGGCCCTCCTCTTAGCAAATTTTGGAAAAATCCAAAACACGTAAAAAACATCGAGTTTTTTTCATTTTTTTTTCGTTTTTTTTTCGTTTTTGGTGGTTCCCAGCCGGAGGCCACCAAAATGGCCGATTTTTAGCCAATTTTTTAAAAATCCAAAATCGTAAAAAACCTCGAGTTTTTTTCGTTTTTTTTTCGTTTTTCTTTTCGTTTTTTTTTCATTTTATTTTCATTTTTTTTTTCGTTTTTTTTTCCGTTTTTTTTCGACGTTTTCGATTCCCAAACGTATTTTCATTTTTTTTTCGACGTTTTTTTCGATTCCCAAACGTATTTTCATTTTTTGCGACGTTTTTTCGATTCCCAAACGTATTTTCATTTTTTTTCGACTGCGCAATCGCGGTCGTCACTGGCACAATCGCGGTCGTCACTGCCAAATTGCGTTCCGGCTTTGCGGGAGTTGTGATGGAGGCAGTATCAGCGCGCATCACGGTTGCCCGGCTATTGGGCCGTTGGTAGATTCTCGTGAAAATCCAAAATAATCGGATTAGAACGAGCGGTGACTTGGAAATTTGTTTGGTGAGCCTGATTTGCTGGTGATGTTTATTAGGATGATCCACATGATACAGAAATAAAGCTAGCCAAACAGATGAAGATTTTGAGGATAAGTTTGGTGATAACCAAAGTGATGATTTTTTGAAAAAAAATGTTCTTGTGAGCCCCAGCCTATGGCTCCCAAATTCTCATAATGCTGGCTAACATAGCCAACATCTGAGGGGCCGTGTCAATGTACATATTCAACATGTCATATCAACACTGGCCTGTGGCTCAAGGCCTTGAGTCAACTCCAGCTGCCAACATACAGATTGAGCGCGTGCAACAGCAAAAGGTGTCGACAGTTGCAGCTTGACAACAGTGCTTGAAACATCTCGCACTTTTACACCACCAACCAAGATCAACCAAGAAGATGGGGCTGTCTCTTACTTGGGAGCCCTGTGCCATAGATTTGACAGAACCAAGATCAAGTCCTTGTTGATTCCCCAAAACAACTACCTTGCTGCTCACAGGACACATTGAACTGTCCGCCATTATTTCGGATGTGTTTCGCTAGAAACCAGAATATGATCCAGATGTGTTTTATCCGACAATATAGGGTCCCCCTACACTGGGCAATAATCATTGTCCCTACCCACCATGGCACCATGGCAATTTTGGCGCACATCAGAGGTGGTCAAACCTCATCCAGGTCACCCAAGTATAGTCACATAACGAAAGCCCAATTGACATATGAGTTGTAAACCACTTACCTCCATAAATCCTTATTTTGGTTAAGAGTCACTCTTGGGTCGGTGCCAACAAGCGGTTTTTCGTTCTGTGTCGAAATACGTCACATCGACATCAGCAGCTATCCAGACAGAATCATGTTGCACTTCTGGAGGTCGACAAACTGGAACGACTGTTTTTGGCCACGGCCAAGTGAGAAACGCGTGCGGTTTGGATGTTCTTCGTTTTGCTACCGTCGGACCCTCCCGAATTCTGTGGAGCAATTCAGCAGAATCGCACGAGACGGCTGGGTCATGGTCGCGTTTGGGCGGCAAGTGCCTCCGGGATGCCTTTGGGAATGGCTTACAAGATCTTACAAGCAATGGGCATTCCATTTACATCCATTTACTTCAATATGCCCAGCAAAAGAATGGTGCAGATTGGAAGAAGACTCGGGAATTGCCATGGTTTATACTCTCCAGTTTCCACTTAAAGGGCACCGCCAGATCGTACTAGAGAAATGGAGTCGCTGTTTGAATCCATTGAAATCCCCAACAGTCTGCTGGTTCACTCCCAATCTTTGGTGGTTAAATCCCAACTTACATATTACTTTGCTGCTTCACTCCCATGTCATCAACAAACACTGCAAAGAAGTGGTTAAATCCCAATTTTTGTTGATGAAATTGCCCACTTCTTCGCAGTGTTTGTAAATCACTAAACACCTGTTTGGAGGTCTTAAAGCGGGCCCTGCTGCAGCTTCGATTAGGCGCCTCGAAGGATTTCTTCAGCAAATCGAAGGAACATATTGGATTTATATGGATTTATTATGATTCTTCCATCAAATACACCCCATTTGGAAAGTCAATGCGTTCACTTGCTTGGTTGCGTTTAGTGGGGGGGAAAGATTTCAAACAGACCGTGCGCTGACTTTCCCGACTGGGTGTACGGTAGCAACATGTAGCAACCAAATATTGGAGTTGAGAATGAAACAACAGGGGTAGCTGTAGTTTAGTTGAGCCAAAGCATGGATTTGGATGGATTTGGGCATTGACTCGGGACTTCCATATGACATCAATTTGGGATGACCTCGGTTCGAATCCCACTCCACTCCAGTAGGCAATCTGCCCGTCATGGATTGTTACTCTGCACTGGACCAGGGACCATTGGATTTAAGTTCGCTTTTCTGGTCCATTTTTTGGGGGTCAAAAAGAGGGGATTATAGCCTTATCATTAACTTATCATTATTATTACTTGGTGGTTCACCCCCACTTAGTAAGTAGGTTATACCCCTGGTTATAACTGGGCTAAGTAGGGTTAGTTCACTTATAACTGGGGTTATAATCCACTTACCAACTGGGATGAGCCACCAAGTTTGTATTTGGCCCTTAAGGCGGTGTTGTGGGGGATTTGGTTTCGTCACTGACAATATGTCAGGCATTTATAGTATACCCAATTCACTCGGGATTGTCATACTCTATATGAACTGGGACCCCCCTTTAAACCAGCCATTATCTGGAGGCGTGACATCACATTAGGCGCGACATTGCGCGACCCTGATCAGAATCATGAGGATGATGATGGATGATGAGAACTGATGACTGTAGATGATGACTGTGAAATACTGTCGCATACTGTGGCAGCCTGGCTTGTGCCAGCGAACCATGCAGCGCGGGACACTTGGGAATTATAGTGTGTTCTTGTTGGCACATGTTGGCGGCAGCGCACAATGAGACGCTGTGGAATTTGGCTCTTTCAAGGTGCAGTTGTCTCCTCTGTTCGGTGGCCGATCACCCTGCTGCAGAAAGGATCGCGCCGCACAGCGACAAACAGTACGCAGCCAAGCTCAATCCTGGAAACTTTGGTGGTTTTGGTGAACTTGGTGCCTTGCTGGCCATGTTGACGAGTTGGATGTCAAGCTGCTGGCATGTGTCCACTTGCTGGCGCATCTCAGTGTTTTTCCCCACCTGCCAGGTGAGGGTTGTTAGATTTTATCAGAGTTGTTCTCCTCCTCCTCCTCGGCTAGCTGTCCTCCTCCTCGTCCTCGTCCTCCTCCTCCTCCTCCTCCTCTAGTTTCTCCTCGACCATGTCTGCATCAACTTCCACCTCCACTTCCGCCTTGCCAACTCTTCGCCAAGCTCTTTGCCAACTCTCTTCGCCAAGCTCTTTGCCAACTTCCCAGCTCAGTGTGCACTGGGACCTCAACCTGGGACCTGCCCAGCTCAGTGTGCACCACTGGACCTCAACCTGGGACCTTCCCAGCTCAGTGTGCACCGCTGGACCTCAACCTGGGACCTTGCCAGCTCAGTGTGCACCGCTGGACCTCAACGGGCAGATAGAATGCCAGAAGATATGCCAGATAGAATGGCAGATGGAATGCCAGAAGATATGCCAGGTAAAATGCCATGAGATATGCCAAATAGAATGCCAGAAGATATGCCAGATAGAATGCCAGAAGATATACCAGATAGAATGCAAATAGGATGCCAGATAAAATGTCAGATAGAATGCCACAAGATATGCCAGATAGAATCCCAGAAGATTTGCCAGATAATATGCCAGAAGATATGCCAGATAGAATGCCAGATAGAATGCCAGATAGAATGCCAGAAGATATGCCAGAACATATGCCAGAAGATATGCCAGATAAAATGCCAGAAGATATGCCAGATAGAATGCCAGAAGATATACCAGATAGAATGCCAGAAGATATGCCAGATAGAATGCCATAAGGTATGCCAGATAGAATGCCAGAAGATATGCCAGATAGAATGCCAGAAGGTATGCCAGATAGAATGCAAATAGAATGCCAGATAAAATGTCAGATGGAATGCCACAAGATATGCCAGATAGAATCCCAGAAGATTTGCCAGGAGATATGCCAGATAGAATGCCAGATAGAATGCCAGAAGATATGCCAGAAGATATGCCAGAAGATATGCCAGATAGAATGCCAGAAGATATGCCAGAAGATATGCCAGAACATATGCCAGAAGATATGCCAGATAGAATGCCAGATAAAATGCCAGAAGATATGTCAGAATATATGCCAGAAGATATGCCAGATAGAATGCCAGAAGATATGCCAGAAGATATGTCAGATAGAATGCCAGAAGGTATGCCAGATAGAATGCAAGAAGATTTGCCAGTAAGAAAATGTATAAATGTCATGGTGGGGATCACACGAAGTAAAGTAATTTAATATGCCTCAATAATGAACATACTGGCCCAACTTGTGGAAATCATTGTGTGCGGGTAGTTTCTGTTAAGTTTTGGGTCAGTAAAATGTATCTTTACAGTTCTTTATAGATATGTCTTGATGTATCGTCCAGCTTCATGCCAGACATTTAGCTATTTGGCAAAGCGTGCCATCCCTTTCCATCGGAAACAAGTAGCAAACCTTGGTATTGCTTAGGTCCGTAGAGCAGATGTTCAGTAGCATGTCTGATAGCAAGATGGCGCCATGGGAAGAGTGATCCAGCCGCTCCCCGCAACGGTGGCCCCTACATAAAAAACTTGCCTATCTATCATCAGATCACCTTTGGAGGGGCATATCCAATTAGGGATATCATATCATATCCATTACCTTCCAGTAAATTAACATAGACCCTGGCAGTCATCGGGGTTGGAAGATTAGTTTCCATTAAAAATTTGTTATTTTCAGGGTCCAACTGTTTATTTATCAGAGGGTAATTCGATCATTACCCCATCAAATAATGCGATCTATGATTGATATCCCAGCAAATATCATTGCAGCAATTGATATCCCATGATGGCTCAGCTGCAAAACCTGGTTGCAACCCCCACACATTTTTTGCGGGGCTTGGCAAAACCACCAAGGTGGTGGTCCCACTCCCCAGTTGTAAGTTGGTTTATAAACCTCATAAACTATAGATCCACTAGAAACCAACTGAGGGATTATAAACTATAGTTGGTTTATAAACCTCATAAACTATAGTTGGTTTATCCACCTTTTTTTGGCACAAAAAAAAACTGAGCTAACATCAAATCCAGTAAACATCCCATGAAATCCAGCGGCAGGCGACGCTTCGGTGCTGAGTTTCCCCACGAACTCCGAGCTCTTCAGCTGGCGCGTGAGGCGACGGAGTGGATGGAGATCCCCACAGTTACCATGTCGTGGTGGGATCCCAACCATCCCTGGGTGGTGGTTTGGAAAAGTGTATTTTCCCATTAACAATAGGGAATTAATATGGGTTAATGGGACTTGATATATCTTAATATGGACTTAATAGATCTATATACTGGTTGGTGGTTTGGAACATTTGGATTATGTTTCCATATATATATATATGTATATTGGGAATAATAATCCCAACTGACGAACTCCATCATGTTTCAGAGGGGTGGCGCAACCACCAACCAGATACTCTTGCTGGAAACCCTCCATTTAGTGTGGGGATCTCCCAGCTTGCCATGTTTGATGACACTGTTGTCGGTAAATCTGAATCCAAAGATTATCTCAAGTTGGTTGGACATCCCAGAGTCCCAGTATATTATATTCCTTTGATATCCCATGAGCCAAATACTCAATGTCCATTCCAGGATCCTAAATTGGAGCTACCTACCATATATAAGGCCTATGTAAGGGCTATGTAAGGGTATATACCCACAAAATATGGCTTTATATGGCACAGTACCTCCATTTTAGGATCCTGGAATTCCCATTGAAATACTATGAAATACTATTTGTTGATGGTTAAACCATCTTCAACCTCCATTTTCCAATTATCATCCCATTTTATCCCCCTTCATGATCCATTGAAGATCCATTGATGGTGTCATCTGGAGGCGCTTGCGGCACCAGTATTGGAAACTGGAGTTCTCAGCAGTTGAGCCTTGGAGTATGGAGTCGCTCAACATGTTGGAACCAAACAAAAACAAATCCATACACATAATATATTTCCCACTGCTTATCATATATGAATATGTATATATATATATATATACATAAAGGCAGTCTATATTGCTACTTTTGTTTGGACTATTATTCCCTTTCCAATACAAAACGCCGTCCAGAAACCATGGTTGATGTAGAAATCGCATATTTGAGACCATTTATATAGATATTTAGGGGGTGTTTTGCGGTTGATTAGATCTGCGATTGGATGACATACACATTACTTTTGGGAAATATGTTGGAATACATATATATATATATATATATTTGATTAATATACGTACATATGCGCATATATATATATATATAGATATATACACGCAAATTTCTCAAATCTCATGGTTTATTGATGATTTCCCCTATTAGAGCGGGGTGTCCTTCATGTAACCCATCGGAATGTCCTGGATTTGATGGTCCCGGAGTCCTGGCCTGGGATGTTTTGGTGAACAAATGGAGCCTGACCATGCATGCATATATAATTTATATATATATATACACGGAAGGACATATTCATCCCCAAAAAGATAGAAAAGTAAATTCCGATTAAAATAGTGAAGATTCACGTTTCTATTATATATATATATATGTATAATCAAAATGAGAAGAGCGATAGTGATGACAATGAGAAGAATCATCACGATACAGGAATGAAATACAATAGAAACATCAACTGAAATGAGTTGTTTTGCCTGGAAAATTGTTAACTGCCGCAGCACATTCAGGATGAGATTACAAACCAGCGCAGTGTTCTGGCTGCACATATGTGTTGTGCGGGTTGATATGGTCGACACCGTAAAGATGGGCGGTATCTACAACAGACACGTTAAAGTCAGATTTTTGGTCGGTCGGGGAATATCGGGACCATCAGACATCCTCCATCAGTATCTGCAAAAAAATCTACAATCATAAGATATAGAATGGACAATTTTTTCATGCTGAATACAGTTTTTGCTAGCTGCTAGCTCCACGCCAGTGAAATCTAATGTTTTTTTTTGCCATGTCCTTGAAGATATTCAATTGTTGTGCCTTCTTCAAACGTGCTGGTTTTATATGTCTTATCCATAGCTCATCTCCCAATCATGAATATTTGCCTATAGATAATAGATAATAGATAAATCCCAGGGAGAAACGCGGAGATATCTTCCTGAAAACTAACATACAGACGTGTAGACAATCAACTTTGCTAAGCAACTGGGCGCCAGCAGCTTGTCTGTTCGATGGTCAAATTCAAACTTTTGTTGACCAAATTGGTAAACCTCCATGTTTGACTTGTAAATCACCATGTCTTGATGTGGATGTCTCCCTATTTTCTTAGTTATGTAAATCTTTTTAGTTGATGCTTAAATCACCCAAAGATGGCTGGCTTAACCTTGATTATAAATTATATATATGAAGTTAACATGTTCCATAATTGTCCGTTTTATGATATTTGCCATTCTGAACCAAAAAAATCCCAATAGTATTCCCATGATATCCTGTTGGATGGCGAACCATCATTTTCCTATTAAGACTGCCCACAAAATTTGGCTTTTTGGCTGCTTAAACCAACATTTTGTTGGTGAAAGTCCTCATTCTGATGGTCCAAAAATCATTTAAAAGATGTGTCAAATCCACTTGTTGATGGTCAATAGTTAATTCCCCTTGGCTTCCTACCCTCTGGTAATTTAACATAGCTATTGAAAGTAAGCATTTATAGTGGATTTTCCCATTGAAAATGGTGGATCTTTACATAGTTATGTAAACGTTTACCAGAGGGTATCCCATGGAATATCCCATTGTATATAATATCCCATCATTTTTTATATCCCATGAATATCCCTTGATGGTTACCCTCTGGTAAACTAACATAGCTATGGAAAGATCCACCATTTTTCATGGAAAAACTCACTATTTCTATGGCAATTTTCAATAGCTATTTTGACATAACCAGAGGGTAATTCCCCTTTGCTTCCCATTTATAGTGGATTTTCCCATTGAAACTGGTGGATCTTTCCATAGTTATCTGGCTGTTGACCAGAGGGTATCCCATGAACATCCCTTGATGGTTAATTCCCCTTTGCTTCCTATCTCCCTTGATGGTTCCCATATTGAAAAACCGCGTCGAGGCCTCAGTGGCGCCAGTTGTGCTTTGGGCCTCGCCTCGATGACGCGCGTCTTCGCCGCGACGACGCTCCAGTCGCTGCTGCCGCGCGGCAGATGTGATGCGAAGGGTTGGGGGACTACCCGGCCTGGTAAACTCACAAAAAACGATGGAAAATGGCCATTTATAGTGAGTTTTCCCATGAAAAATGGTGATGTTCCATAGTTATGTTAAACTACCAGAGGGTATCATCGGAGTGGCTATCATTGGATTACCCTCTCTGGTTGGTGGTTTGGAACATGTATTTTCCCATCAGCAATAGGGACATATGGGTTCATGGGACTTAATATGGGTTAAAGTGACTATCATTGGATTGGTTTAAGGGAAAATCTAACTGGACACTCACTGGACACCATGGTTTTTACCATTAAACATGGGGGTTTCCGGTTTCAATTTTCCCGTAAAGCATAATCTAATGAGACTATGATTAGAATAGGATTACCCTCTCTGGTTGGTGGTTTGGAACATTTTTTTATTTTCCCCAATAGTTGGGATGATGATCCAATCTGACTATCATGGGAGTGACTAATGTGGTTAAAACAATGCCATAAACTACCCATGACTCGGAATGGCTTATACAACCTATAAAATTGGTGATTTGGGGGATCGTTTATTATTGTTTTAACCATGATGAGAATGGGAAAGATCCACCATCTTTGATATGTAAATCAACTATCAATGGGCAATTTTCAATAGCTATGTTAAATTACCAGAGGATATGTGGTATATTCTGAGACAATCTGAAGATATGTATACAGTATATACTTGGTTCATGACGTTTCTTGTCTCATCTCCCCTGAAGTTGTCTCAGGTCGGTGTGCCGTGGGGAAGTGTGTATAAAAGATATATATGACATTATTATGTGCCATTGGGATGGGGTAACTTCTGGGTGCCTGGGGTAAGAAACAACGTCCGCCCAGGCTAGGTATTACATTATGGGTATATGATGGGACTATTATGGTATGGTCCTGGTATTTTGTGGTATGACAGGATTGCTCCAATCCATTGTCGGTAAATTATTTATATTATAGCCACAAGGTGACAAGGTAGGAAAACTAGTTTTTGTTTACCTGTTGAACAAGACTCTACCTACCCAGTCCCCCCCTTCTAACAGCCATCAACAGGGACATAATTATACCAAATTATATATACACCAAATTATACCAACAATTGTTGTTCAAGTAGGTCAACAATGGTTGATGAAATTGGTGGATATAACCTGGGATGTACCTTCTGGTAACATGGCAAGCTGTTCAATCCCCAAACGAAATGGAGGTCTATAGCTGAGAAAATCCAGAAATGTGGGGATTTTGGAGCACGCCATGTTTGACCGAAGGGTATCTTGCCTAGCCATTGGGAGCCAGGTGCTGTTTCACTCATTGAGTTTCCCATGGCCAGGATTTCACCAAAATGATCCGAGTACTGTAGAACCTTCGCACAGAGTCAGAGAGCAAAGAAAGCCAAGGAGTTGGGCCGTGGCTATCACACCAGCGGCAAGGGACGAGGCCTTCACTACGACCACCAGTGGTCGACAGCCCTTCAAGTCCGGGCAATACCGCATGACGATTGAGGAGGTGAAGATAGTGACGAAGTGCGGCCACTGCCACAAGGTGGGCCACTGGCATCGAGAATGTCCTGACCTACACCGTGGCTCTGTCGAAAAGGAGCAGCACTACCTCCAGTCCGAGGAGGCCACCTTTTGTGGGATGTTGGAGATTGAGAAGGAACGATCGAGCCCAATGAACATCCGAGGAGATCAACATCCACCTGAAGAGGAACTGAGCGGCCCAGGTGACTGTGAGGTAGATCCAAGCTTGTCCAAAAGAACTGTTCTCCAGACAGTGGTGGCAGGCAATGCCAACATGGCAAGGGATTGGATTTTACCGAGGTTTCCACGGGGATCCCATCAACCAGGAATTTGGATTGACCAAAATCTGGAGAGAAACAGTTCTCCCAGTCATTTACCGCATGTCTAATGCTGTACCCAATATTGTAAGAATCCCCATTTTGATCAATTCTGTGAACTATGGGACTATTTCCATGTGATGCGCATTTGATATCTCGCCTATTGTTGTAAGTCATTGTCATACCCAGATGCTCCATGTATGGTATATTTACCTACATTTGGGTGATTTTTAGGGCACATGTTGGTAAATATTCCATACATGGAGCATATGGGATATATTTCTAAGATATCATCTAGGCCAAGATGGAGCCATATTCGGGAAAGTCTCGCATCTTCTGAGAGAGTGCTTGAAATGCATATATCTGGGTAAATTATAACGACCTCACTGCGACCTCACTCTAATCATGGTTAGGCAAGGGAATCATCCCCAGCATAGCCTTATTTCAGGTTTGTGAATTACTATAATTTACCCAGAGATATATAGAAACTATGCAGATTTACCAAAACGGAATTGCATAGATTTCTGTTTGTATGATCCATATTTACCACCAGTTCAGTAAGCCCCAAGAAAGATGCCGCAACGTATGATTTATCACTATCTTAGTCAGAATTTACTTACTTCTATAATTTTTTGGGGGGTGCTATAACCTAAATGCTCCAACCTTTACCCTAATAACCCAAGTGTGTATGTATATGTATATATATATATATGCAATCATATGTATGTATATATATATATATTTAGCACATACCATACATGGAGCATATGGGTAATGCGGTAAACCCAATGCCATAAACCATCCCTAGTCACCTTTTCTTATGAGTGCTATAATATCAACCATCCCCAGTCATGGTGGGTTTATAGCATCGGGTTTCTGACATAATTAACTATAGAGATAGCTACCATAAACCATAGTGACATTGGAATTGTGTCTTATCAACTTAACTAGGTGGCACTTGGACAGGCATACCGCAAGCGATTCCCCCAAAAATCATCCAACCCTAACCTCTGGTAAACGTTTACATAACTATGGAAATCACCATTTTTAATGGGGATTTCCACTATAAATCACCATGTTCAATAGCTAAGTCCAGAATTTCCCAGCCCTGCCCTGCGATGGATCCTGCGCCGCCCGAGGTCACAGGTGGAGTCGGACCCGGAAAAGCCTTGGAATTGGCTGCTGGAGTTGGACCTCCAGATCCATCATGCGAAGATCAAGGCCGGGGACACCCAAGAATGGTAGGAAATTATATAGATTTGTTTGATGTGTTTTTTTAATGGATTTGTGTGGGATTTATGTGGATGTATTTATTTGGATTTATAATGATTTATATGGATGTATATGGAATTATATGGATTTACATGGATGTACATAATCATCCTAACGTTGATAGAATATGGGATTGTCCAACAGATTCAATTTTCTTTTAAAGTTGTCTTATTTATTTTTGTCTACTCCAGGACTCCGGGACCACTACATCTATAAAGCCCAAATTTGTTGCCATGATTGGCTGATTGGTGGTTTGGAACATGTTTTTTTCCATGTATTGGGAATAATCATCCAACTGACTGTCATATTTTTCAGACGGGTTGAAACCACCAACCAGTTGGCATTTAGTGGAAATTGAGGTTTTGAAGCATGGGATGGCATGGTCTCCGTTATTTTTAAGACAAAACCATTGGATAAGGTGGGAAAATTGACAGCTGGAACCGCCCTGATATGTTTTTGGTTTTTGTGATGAATGCCATGGTCTTCCCCACAAATTCAATGAAGGCTAGGACGAGCTTGCAAGCGGAAATTTGCTGGGTTTCCAAGATGAGTATGCCGGCAACAATCGGATGGGGTAGCAGCAAAAGATCTCCAAATGTATATATCAACTATTTCCAGAGGGTATTGAGCGCCAATAAGCACAGTCTGCTCTCTCCAGCCGCTTGATCTGAATGTTGAACTTTTGTTCCCAGAAGCTGTGGGTGGCAGTTCCAAAACAAGGACATGAAAGACGTCACCATGTTAAGTACTGATTTCAACGTAGCTATGGAACATCACCATTTTAACAGGTAAATCATGGTAAATCACCATAAATCATCTTTAGTCCATAGCTGCCTAAAATAGCCAGAGGGTACCCTTTGGTAATTTTTCACAGTTTGCTATGATCTATGGAGAGTTGTTCATTGGGTGGATAATTTACCTATGAATTTCCATAGCTATGCTACACATGACCCGCTTGGGTAGGTGGTTTGGTGCTGGAGCCGGTGGGCGTTAACCATCCCATTTTCAAGCTTTCAAACCTGGTTACATCCATTGAACATCACCCCATATTTGTGTCCCTTCAACTGGCCATGAACTTGCCATGAACTATATACCATAGACTACCATAAAACTACCATAAAACTGCCATAAACTCCCATAAACTCCCATAAACTACCATAAAACTACCATAAAACTACCATAAACTCCCATAAACTACCATAAAGCTGCCATAAAGCTGCCATAAGCTGCCATAAAGCTGCCATAAAGCTGCCATAAAGCTGCCATCCAACGGCCTGAATGTTCCGCTGGTTTTCTTTCGTTTGTCGAGGCGATGAGCTGCGCTGATGGTCCCATGCCCGAGGTGGACTATTTGCCCCAGATCTCCTTGACGCAGCACGTGAGTCACAAACACCAGGCACGACCGCAGGCGACATCGATGTGAGAACTTGGTGAATTTCCGGCACGTGAATTTTCGGAGATCTCAAGGATATGGAACATAGAACTTTAAGTTGTAGAACTTGGTTATAGATCTTGAGATCAGTGAATTAGAAGGAGATCTGCTGTCACTATAGATGATGGTTGTGATTGGAAGCATGCCAAAACTAAATGCGAAGGTTGCTGACTTCTTGTAAGTTAGCCAGAGATTTGTTGAAGTAATCCAGATGTTTGGGCGCAAGGATATTTAAAGGCGACTCAAGAATGACTTTCAAAAGTACAAAACCGTAGTACGTATGATCTGAAAGCATATCTGTTAAGATCTGTTTTACACATATGTACTTCAACTGAAGGATGTACTGCATGCCACCATCCACATCAATTTTGGTGCTGTCTTGGATTTGTCAAATTTCAAGACTTGGGGAACCACACATCTTAGTCCAGATTTAGCCTCAACCATCCATTTTTAGGCCAAAATTTGAGCCATAGCCATTGAATCTTAACATGGCACCCATGTTGAGCCTCAAAGAACCTACTTGGAACGAGCAGCTGGATAGGAAAGGGTTCTGTCACCATGATCTCCCGACTTCTGGCAGAAGTACCTCAGGTGCGAAAACTTGATTTATGCGGTTAAGCCATGCGTATAACATCGTAGAACTAAAATGACCCATAAAAGCACAAGAATTTCCCAGTTACCTTCACCTTATCCATGAATCTCTATGGAATACTTTGAACTAGGAGAACTAGGACATGTGAACTATATATCCAGAGTTATACATATATATATATACACATAGAGTTGAATTATAGAACTATATTCAGAGTTATTCAGAGATATATACATAGACTTGAACTGCATCTGATCATCCCCCTTAAAAAAAAAAACATGGCAGTTCTCATCCTTCGACGGGTCCCGAAAGCTGGTCGAGAAAGGTCGAGATGGCCGACTTCGATGGGCGTCGAGAGGTCTCGTGCATCAAAGGTGCCAATTGGTTCGAGGCCGAGCTGGGCGAGTGTGGCGGCTTTCACCCCAGACACCATCCAAAAAAACAATCCCCTTGAGGAGAAGTTGGTGATTGGATATACCATGGATATAGTATATCAATTGGTATATAGCATGGATATACCATTGATATGCTATAGATATACTGGCAATGATGAACAATGAGCCCCATGTTTTGGTGAACGGGATGGTAGTTTCCATCTGAGTCCATCCCTTGAGAAGCTCATCGCCTTGGCGACATGATGTACCCTCCGGTAAACGTTTACAAAATTACTTTACTTCGTGTGATCCCCACCATGACATTTATAGATTTTCTTACTGGCAAATATTCTGGCATTCTATCTGACATATCTTCTGGCATTCTATCTGGCATTCTATCTGGCATATCTTCTGGCATTTTCTTGTGGCATTCTATCTGGCAAATCTTCTGGCATTCTATCTGGCATATCTTCTGGCATATGTTCTGACATATCTTCTGGCATTCTATCTGGCAAATCTGATGCATTCTATCTGGCATATCTTCTGGCATTCTATCTGACATATCTTCTGGCATTCTATCCGGCATTCTATCTGGCATATCTTCTGGCATATATTCTGACATATCTGCTGGCATTCTATCTGGCATTCTATCTGGCATATCTTCTGGCATATGTTCTGGCATATATTCTGACATATCTCTGGCATTCTATCTGGCATTCTATCTGGCAAATCTTCTGGCATTCTATCTGGCATATCTTCTGGCTATCTCATATCTTCTGGCATATCTTCTGGCATTCTATCTGGCAAATCTGATGCATTCTATCTGGCATATCTTCTGGCATTCTATCTGACATATCTTCTGACATTCTATCTTCTGGCATATATTCTGACATATCTTCTGGCATTCTATCTGGCATATCTTCTGACATTCTTTCTAACTTTCTTCTGCACATTCTTTGTCCCATATCTTCCTACATGAGGTCCGGCAGGGAACACTGGGCGGGGATAGCCGCGGTTGAGGTCCGGCAGGGAACACTGGGCGTGGATGGTCGTGGTTGAGGTCCGGCAGGGAACACTGGGCGTGGATGGTCGTGGTTGAGGTCCGGCAGGGAACACTGGGCGTGGATGGTTGTGGTTGAAGTCCGACAGAGCCCACTGTGGTCGAGGGTCGCGGTTGAGCAGGAGGAGGAGGAGAGGAGAGGAGGAGAGGAGGAGAGGAGGAGAGGAGGAGGAGGACGAGGCAGGAGGCAGGAGGAGGCAGGAGGAGGCAGGAGGAGGCAGGAGGAGGCAGGAGGAGGCAACTGACATAAAATCTAACAACCCTCACCTGGCAGGTGGGGAAAAATGGAAAGATCCACCATTTCTGATGGGTAAATCCACTATTTCTATGACCATTTTCAATAGCTATGCTAGACATAACCAGAGGGTATATCCCATTAGATTCCATTAAACCACCATAAATCCCATTAAATCACCATAAATCCCCATTAAATCACCATTAAACCACTGGCATGAATGAAAAGCTGTTACAGTTCTGTCATGGAGATTTTGGATGCAACCCTGAGGGCCCATCAAGCTGACTAATGTTTGTTGATGAATTGAGCTCCCCAAATCATCAGACGGTTTATGATGTATGGATATTCATGGTATATACCCTCTGGTAATTTAACATAGCTATTGAAAATGACAATTTTTAATGGGAAAATCCACTATTAATGGTCATTTTCCATAGCTACGTTAAATTACCAGAGGGTACATCCATAGTATTCTATACTAATCATGACGTTTTTCTAAAGCAGCTTACAATGGGGTGATAATCTGATGTTGTTTATAAACTATACCAGTTATAATTACGAACTTCCTAAAGTTACCACTATATCACTACAACTATAACTAACAGAAACCACGAAATACCAAATATATATATATATATATATCCAGATATCAACTTACTATATACCAGTTTATAAATCATGATTTTATAAACTATAACTTCATACCTCTATACCACTATGCCACAACAAAACTGGGGGTACCACCTGTATATCACTTTCTTTAGTAAAGTGGCCTAGTGGTGTATATATATATATATGGTATCTGTAGTAAGTTTATAGATATAGTTAACTTACTTTAATTTACTGTACTTACTTTCATTTACTTTACTTATATATATATAATGATATATATATATATACATATATATATATAACCATGGTGTAAAATTGACATGACCACCTCGCAGGTGGCACGCAAGGGCCTGGTGGCTCCCTACTGCTTCCGCCGGGACGTCATGAAGGCATGGCTGGTGAAAAATGTGTTTCCCATGGTCCTCATGAAATGGCGAGCGAGTCACGGAGTTGCGAGCTTGAATAGGGAACCAATATGTATCTATATTACATATTATATATATATATCTGGGTGAATTATAACGACCTCACTGTTCGACCAAACCCTGGAATCATGGTTAGTAAGGGAAATCATCCCCAAATGGCCGAACTACTCAGGTTAGTGAAATATTATAATTTACCCAGATATATATGTGTGTATATGTGACTTGCATATAGCTTATATAAGCAGGTAGTAAATCACTTTCTAGCTCAGATGCAATTTCCAAGTATGGCTCTACCCTCCGGGAAAAAACGTGGCTGGAAAATCCCCGAAGATCTGCAGGCCTTTCGGCAGCTGCGGCAGTGGTGGACCTCTCTGGATGCGCGGAATTTCCTGGTGCCCGAGGACTGGCGGTGGACTTTTTCTGATTGAGAGGTCGAGTTCAAAGAGATTATATATTATATTATAGCTATGTCTATGCAATCCCCCCAAGATTCAACAGCAACAAAAACCGGGTTTAGTATGTTTGATATTGGATCTCTATTTATTCTGGTGTCTGATTTATGATGATTTCTTATGGATATATCTATAGTAATCTATAGTGAGATGGGATTATAATCCAACAAACTCTGGTTGGTGGTTTCAAACATGTTTTTGTTTGTCCAAAGTACATGGGATAATCCTTCCCATTTGATTAATATTTTTCAAGATGATTGAAACCACCAACCAGATAGGGATTTATAGGGTAAGTTATAGGGTCAGGCTAGAATTGGTTTTTGGACAAGAATCGATGCGGATGAGTTTTGCGGAGTTGAAGTAACTACTACTACATCTGGATAAACCAACTTAAGGGTAGCTTTAACAATTCAAATGGTGGTGTTTACCTAGAAAAGAACAGGCGGAAATAGATGGAGCCATTCCTCATCACGGCCTGGCCTTACCCCTTACCATGTGGGCCCATACCAAATACGAAGCTTCAAGGTTTTAGGAGTGGTTCAGTTGGGAAAATCTTTAGGAAACCATGTTTTTTCCCATCAACTATGGGGTTTTCCTGTAAAAAAAGGGGCGATTCAACTCCAAATCGAAAGGATTCAAACAAGATCTAATTCTGCTGTACGTCATCACCGAGAGCATTTTCCTGCCCTTCGGATGGCTCCCTGCGACAGACGCAGGGTTGACCGCCAACCAAAAGTTGAGGGTACCACTTGATTGGGTCCTCTGGGTTGATCGGCATCTTCCTTAAACAGCTACCGGAGGTTCCATGTCTCAGACAAGAGTGTCTCGCTCCTGTTCACCCCTGAGGACCACCTTGGGCCTTGACAGGAAATTGGCTTGACGGCCTCTTCGGTTGCCCATCTTCAGCTGAGACGCCAGCCTCTGGATGCTTCGGATCCGCTTGTTCGCTGTCAAAAGATGGATTCTGTGCCGGAGGGGGATAATCATCAATCCATGTTCTTAGGGATTTATATAGCCATTGTATGGATGACCGTATCCGATATACCATCTTTTAACCATGGCCCATGGCCCTATCTTTTTTGGGTGCCCCTTTTTTTGACCCCGCCCTACTAATGTCTTTATAATTCCCATGACATGGGCTGACACCTTCCCAACAAGTCAGACCGGCCATGACATGGGCTGACACCTTCCCAACAAGTCAGACCGGCCATTTGCCACCGCTCAAGTGGGTTTGTCCAAGAATGGTGTACCCCTAACAATCCAACCGTTGATCATCACTTTTCTTAGTAAAACAGCCACTTCAGCCTCTTATTTTTGGCAAAGCCCAATGATGCCCAATGATTGTTCAAGTGTCAATTCCCATCTTGTGGATGATGCAATCACCAAGGTTTGACAATGAAAATCCCAGCATTTTTGGAGTTAACCAATTTTGGCGAAATAATTCCCGCATGTTTGCTGATGAAATCACCATTTCTATGCTGGTTCAGTCACATGTTTTTGCTGGTGAAGTTACACCTTCTTTGGGTGTAAAACCGCTCAAAAACACGCCCGACCCGTCCTAAAGGAGGGAACTTTCTTGGCCCTCTTTCGCAATGGGGACGTGCCTTGGAAAACCGGACGTCGACTTTCAGGGGCAGCAGTGGAGGTTCAATATACAAGCTGTTGGACCCAGTTTGTTGGCTTAGTTGGTTTTATAACATTTTATAACTATAGTTTGACATTGACTAAACTCGAGCTTTTTTTTTTGGTATTGTGATGGGTTTTGTTACTTTGGCAATGAACGCATGTGGTCAACGCCACATTTTTTCCCAGGGAATGGTCACAGCTCCAATTTCCGGCATCGGGCGTGGATCTGCTAAGTCGGTGGGTTTTCCCATCGGGGTACCCCAAGTTATGGGTTTATAGTGGGAAATCCCATTAAAACTAGGAGTTATGGATGGTTTGTAGTGGTTAAACATGTGGTTCATGAGTTATGGATGGTTTATAGTGGATGATAGCTAGGAGTAGCCCTATTTCGGGAAATGCCCACAAAAAAATGAGGAATATGTATGAATAATGTCTGATTTTGTTGGATCCTTAAGCAAATCCAAAGGGGGATGACAATAACAATTAAGCATGTTTTGACCGTGGAACTGATAGGTTTGTCTGAACATAGGCTACCCCAAATTGGATGGTTTAACATCATTTTCCCTATTCAGATTGCCATTTTTTTCCGGGATTTTCCAGGTATACCATATATTTTATACCATATTTTTCAGACAAAGCGATATATTTTCAATCTATATCCATGTGGTTTCATTCCTCCTGTTTTTGCATGAACAGCATCCATAGTTCTATGTGCAATCCCTGCCCGACGTCCCATGGAGTTTGAAATGTGACAGTTACGGCCCGAAATGCCAATCTGTCAAGTCAGTAAGTCACCCGATTTATGGTTCATGTTAAGCCCATAGAAATCACCATTTAATTGGCTGGTGGTTTGGATCATTTCTTATTTTTCATATATTGGGGATATATGTTCCCAACTGACTTTCATATTTTTCAGATGCGTTTTTCAACCGCCAACCAGATTGGTGTCTGAAAAATCACGGGTTTCTATCGGGCTTGAAGTAGAAAGATTCCAGGCGGGGATCATGCCCTGGGACTCCGACTTCGATGTGAAGCTCTACACGGAGCAGGACATCACCATGGAAGGCGAGGCCACCTTAGACACACTTCATGGGGGAGGCTGGATCAAAGATAGGGGTATCCAGCAACACTCATGGAGATATCATAGGGGAGATACTGGGGAGATATCTGATCATATATGATATAACCACCATGATGTTCTGATATATTATGATATTGGTGGGAGATCATGATCCTTATGGTTATGATATTGGTGGTAATATATCAGTATATGATATGATTATGGTTATGATATTATGTTATATCATGGGGAGATAGTGGATATATTACCAGCAATATGACTCTGGGTTCCCCTTCTTAGTAATTGTTGTGAAATGCTGGGTTGGAACCACTCGAAATGGTGGTTTTGGCGGGGGATCTTCACCAATCATAACCAATGAATAGAGGGGACCTGGGAGTGTCTGAAAATGGTGTATTGACAAACCATAGGATATTTGCCTTTGTTTTTCAGGCAAATCCAATTTTATTGGTGTGTGCTTTCTTTATTTCAAGCGAGGATCTAAGTATCAAATAATATATTGCTTGATATTCGAGCAATTTTTGTCAGGTCCTTATTGATGACAACATTTTTTCCGAGAGGGTTGAAAGGGATGAAACCTCCAACCAGATATTGCGTATCCAAATCTATCTAAATACTGTAAAATTATAATTTTACATGTGTGGGAAGGGGCATAACATCCATTTATTGTATTACTTATTACAGTTCGCCAGGATAATACGGTTTTGACCCATAGCCAAATATGTATTTAAAGATGTGCCTTGTTTTTCCATCTGACAAAAATAACTCTGCAAACCATAGGTTAAGTTGCTTCACCTAGTGGGTGAATAATTGGGTTTCTTTTGTGGATTGATCATTCTTCGACTCCGTCCAAGATGTTTGTTTCAACTGGGTATCTAACTCAGACATGCTCAAGATGGCTGGGATATTTACCATTAAACAGATTTAGGCATGCTACCTTCCAGCTGTAACGAGGTATTTAATTACTCATTATTCATTACTCATAACCCCATTGAAGTGACGGCTCGCTCGAGTGATGGTGGTGGCAGCTCGAATCATTAACTCCATCAATCACCCCATGAATAATCCTTGTTATTTCCCTCATTCCTGTTTAAATATATATATATATAATTATAAATTATAATTAATATAATATATATATATATACATTGAATCTACATTCGCATAAGCCTACAAACAAAGTGGTGCCTCCCCACTTTTAGCACCTGGTTCAGAACAGCATACAACTATAGACAGATTTTTACACGATATAAACCAAAGAATAGCCTAGTGAAATAAACCAACTTAGCAATTCCGAACTGGGGCAGCATTTTTCACACTGAAGTCCCTTTTGGTGTTGGGTACATCCCCCTCAACAATCCCCATTGAACCTTGGGAAACAAAGCCTACTTAGGGGAATTTCCCCAAAACTTGCTGGTTTGTGATCACATTCCCCATGACAATGAGAATTTTGGCTATATATATATGTGATATTATATTATATGATATATATATATATATGGATATATATGTATATACATATGATTATAATATATGATCTATATATATATGAATAATATATATATATATATCAGTGCTAGTGATGAGAGGCTCGCTGTACCTCCAAAAGCCAGGTTTCATGAACCGAACCATGGAGCCAGCCTTCCAGTCTATGCAGATGCTCGGTGTCGGTGATCTTATTTCGGGGAATCTCAGATAGGTTGCAGCAAAATCGACATCTATCACAATCTTCTAAGGTTGAGATGTAGGGACTATATATCAAAATCCCTAATTTGGTGGTCAATGGTTGTATCCATGAATTTCCATGAACATCTATCATCGTCTAGACCTATTGTTCATGTTTCTTGTTGTTTTCTTGGGGTCAATTTCATGTTCTCAGGTTTTTGTTTCTAGACAGTTTTTCTCGGATCATGAGGGGGTTGCTCCAAAGAAGCGCGAGCCAGTCGCGGATCCCAATCCAGGCTGAATGGGACCCAAAGTTAGCTTTTGACATGGAACCTGGCGCCTTGCGTCGTCGTCTGGATGACATCTATCTCCATCGAAGAGAGCACGTGTCGCCGAACTTGCCAGAGACACAGCCCGTGTCGGTGGAGATACGCTCTTGAAAGTGAAGAGTGCCAAGTGGTAGTTTTTTTTGAGTTGCAAAATCATTGCTGACGGTGATGCTACAGGAACTGTCCGAAGACCATGGCCGTGACATGCCGTGACAAAAGTGGCAGGTGACGGGGATTGCCTCTTTCATGCACTGGCTTTCTTCGACGCCTATGATGGAAGGGCCCTTCGCATGTCGCCGAGTTCATGGAGACCCATGCCCAGGCTCACGAAGGCGGCACCGCGAAGCCAAGAAGCTGAGGGCAAGCATGGATTCCATATGATTCCATGTAAATGTGTCAAATTACCATATGCTAAAACATGCTAAAACATGTTCCCTCCAAACCCCGGGTTCGCCCACACTCAAACAACACATCCAAACAATATGATATACGCATCACCAGATGATGAATGAAAACACTGGCTATACACAGTGATTTCGACTTTAAGTTTTGAGGATTTAGGGTTTTAATTTAGGGTTTTGGTTTTAGGGTTTGTTGTTTGGGAAAGTACTCTAAAAAACTCAAACCTAACCCTACGCAGGGATTTGAGCATGTCAAAGGATATGCGGGATTCGCAGCGGGCAAACCTAGGGGTACGTATTTTTCCGGGGATTTTTTTTCAGATTTCCCGGGGATTTTTTTTCAGAAATCTATTCGCAGGCCACGCAGGGAACAGGCAAGCAAGCAAGCAAGCAAGCAAGCAAGCAAGCCAGCCAGCCAGCAAGCAAGCAAGCAAGCCAAGCAAGCAAGCAAGCCAGCCAGCCAGCCAGCCAGCAAGCAAGCAAGCAAGCAAGGCAGCAAGCAAGCAAGCAAGCAAGCAAGCATGCAAGCATGCATGCAAGCATGCAAGCATGCAAGCATGCAAGCATGCAAGCATGCAAGCATGCAAGCAAGCAAGCAAGCAAGCACGCAAGCACGCAAGCAAGCAAGCAACAAGCAAGCACGCACGCACGCAAGCACGCAAGCACGCAAGCACGCAATCACGCAAGCAAGCAAGCAAGTAAGCAAGCAAGCCAGCAAGCCAGCCAGCAAGCCAGCAAGCCAGCAAGCCAGCAAGCCAGCAAGCCAGCAAGCCAGCAAGCCAGCGAGCGAGCAAGCGAGCAAGCGAGCGAGCGAGCAAGGGAGGAAGCACGGCAGTCAGCGAAGCGAGAAGGTGAGCAAGCCATGCAGGGAGCCAGCAAGACAGCCAGCCAGGCAGCAAGCAAGGAAGGTATCCAATCAAGCATTGTATAAGTATGGCGCGCGATTGCAATACCACCCCCCGTATCCATGTGCATAAGCAAAAGACATTGTAAATACCATGCAAAACTGCATTTCCAGGAAAGCCCCCCCCCGCGGCTTGTGACAACGCCAGAAAGGTGGATGATAAGGCCCACCTACATTGCGAATGAATGTATCATGACTACGTGACGCTTTGCCCCCCTCCCGCCTTTTTATTTTAGAGCCACCCTCCCGCGGCTTGTGACAAAATGCAAGTGTATGATACGGCCCACCTTTGTAGCGTATGTGATCAAACTTGTCGTCAAAATCTATCTATCTATCTATCTATCTAACTATCTATCTATCTAATCTGATCTGATCTGATCTTATCTTATCTTATCTATCTTATCTTATCTTACCTTATCTTATCTTATCTTATCATATCTTATCTATCTATCTATCTATCTATCGATCTATCGATCTATCGATCTATCGATCTATCCATCTATCCATCTATCGATCTATCGATCTATCGATCTATCGATCTATCGATCTATCGATCTATCTATCTATCTACCTATCTATCTATCTAATTTATCTAATCTATCTCATCTATCTCATCTATCTCATCTATCTTTCTATCTTATCTTATTTTTCTTATCTTATCTTATCTTATCTTATCTATCTATCTATCTACCTATCTATCTATCTTATCTTATCTTATCTTATCTTATCTTATCTATCTATCTATCTATCTATCTATCTATCTATCTATCTATCTCATCTATCTCATCTATCTCATCTATCTATCTATCTATCTATCTATCTATCCATCTATCTAACCATCTATCTATCTATCAATAAATCAATCAATCTATCGTGTCTGTTTGTTTAACACAGTGGATGCACGATGAATACAACGGCAAACAACACAGAACCGTCCATGCCACTAGTGATCAGACGTATGCAAGTCGCGGGAAACACGCCCAAAAACGGCAAGAACAAAACAAAATCGTTCAAAACCCAAAAAAAAACGGTGAAAAGCAAACTAAACACCCAAAAAACGTTTAAAACTCTGGAAAATGAATGGAAGCCAAGGAATACACCGGTTGGCGCCATGGAACAAGCAAACAACACGCCCCGCAACAGAATCAAAAAAAAAAACCCAAAACGCAGAAAAAAAAACAAAATAATTAAAAAGGTAGGGGCGCGAACCCTTTCTGCATGGTTGCTGCTTCTGGCCTTATGTGTTTTGCTATATAGACCCCGTATCCTGAAAAAAAATCCCCGGGAAATCTGAAAAAAAATCCCCGGGGACGCCCCCACCCCAAACCTAGGGTTCGCAGCGAACATGTTGGTTCCCAATTGTTTTTATTTACCATACTATAATCGAAGGAAGTTTAGAAGTCAAACTTCCGACAATATGGACAGATGGAAAGCAGAGATGAGAAGAGTCAGAGAAGAGAAGAGAAAAGAAGAAAGAAGATGCAGGTGCGTGAAAAGGTAGGAAAGTCGCGAAACACTGCGTTTTTCCAATGATTTGTGGCTCCGGAGAGCCGAAAAGTAGTCTCGCTAAAGCGGCGGGTGCGGAGCCATCTGGCCAGATGAGGGATGAAAAATTGCGTCCCGTTGTGGCGCGATGCACATGTCGAAGCCAACATGTACAAAACACCTCAGCTTCGGAGCACTTTTAGAAGCTGAGATGTCGAAAAAGTGCACGCTGTCGTGGCGCGAAGCACATTTGAAAGTGAAAAAGCTACAAGCACCTTACGTTCGGAGCACTTTTGGAAGTTGAGATGTTGAAAACGTG